TTTCTCTATATAGATGCAACCCATTATAGCACCAACTTCCAAGTCATTACTTCCAAACCCATAACAACATGGAAGGAAGAAAGAATTAAAATATAAACTATGAATATGAACATGCCTTCATAATAATTTCTCTTTCCCTATTTTGAATGCATATACTTTACTGTTTTGTTTTGTTTAGAAAACTTGCTATCCAGGTGAAAAGTGGTTAAATAATGTACTAAGGAAAATGTCTAAGCATCAAAAGCTGTTCACTGTGAACATGACCAGCCTTAGGGACAACTGACCTTAACAATCACCCACAGCACAGCTTTGGTTTAACACTCTGTCTCTATGCATAGGGAAAGTCTCAATAATTTTAATGAAAACTTTCCATATTTTCATTTTGTACTGGGCCTGATACATTACATATGTTAATCCTTCCTGCAAAAGTCAGGTAAGTGAGAGTAGAATTTATAGATCACAGATACTTCTTTTTGAAATAAAAGGAGTTTGAAACACATCAGGGTCATGTGATTAGATGCCATATGCTGGAGATACGTCAGGGAACAACTTTCTGGCTGTAATGTTTTCTCTCCTTACCTTGTTAGTCAAAGTTTTGTCCATCTTTTCAGAAAGAAAATAGAAACCCTAACCCAGTACCAATTCAAGAGCAGAACCATTAGCATCACCCAGGAGTCTGCCCAGGGGATTGGCTAACATGAGAGAAGGAAGCCAACTTACGCATTTCTTAAATGTCCATCTCAATCCTCCCCACCTGAGCTGGGTGACGTTCAATCCAGGGAACTAGATCTTGAAACAAATCACAGTCCAGAGTCCATTCAATGGAGACCCCTCAAAGTGGTACATTTTCCTAAATGTGACAGGGTTATGAAGTAAACAATTCACTGTACTCAGGAGTTCTACCTTCTACTCAACTGAAAGGGATGAGTTAGAATACTGCTGATTCTAATCCCAAAAGATGCAACTTGAAATGCCACAATCCTGAGTTTTGAAATTCTGAAAGCTAAAAATCCCCTGAACTGTAATCATATTAGAGGAGGAAAAATGTTCAGATTACAGCAGAGGAAAGCCACATCTGCAGCAAGAAGGAAGAGATGGGTGTAGTTTCAGTTATATGTAGGACACTAGATTCACGTTAGGCAGAACAAATAGCTAATACCCTGATAAGACATTGTTTGGAAATGTGTCTGAGTGTGTTTCCAGAAAGGTGAGTGAGTGAACCAGCTTGGGGCCTATAAAAAGCACTCAGAAGAAAGCTCTTTCCCCCTTCAAGATTGGAAGGATGTGGTTTTCTTCTCATGCCTTGAACATCAGGACTCCGGGCTCATCAGCCTTTGGATTCCAGGGTTCACACCTATAGCCTCCTAGGTCTCTGGGATGTTGGACTGGGTCTGAGAATCCCACCCCTGGCTTCTCCAATAAATGGAGAGCTATTCTTATATCTCATCTTTGACAAGTAAAATTTGTCAAGATCTCAGGTTTTTGAGCAACTGCACATGCAGAGGAGAACTGGTTATTCTGGTTTTTGGTTGGCCTCATAAGAAAACATAGGTAACCTGTCACCGTATTCTAGATAGCTGCAATTATAAAGCTGGGGGTGCACAATCACCAACAACGGTAATACAAGTTTATAAAATTCACAATTTGACCTGCTTTTTTATGAATATGACTTGTCTATCCATAATATTACACTCATGTGGTTTTGTTTGTATACCTGAATGTACCTGAAAAATATGACAACTAGTACACCATTGCACTGTTTAAAGTGGCTTTTATATGAATGAAATGGATATTATTTGTTGTTCATAGTCCTTGTCTATATGTCTGCTGAATGAGGATCTTTCTATTTATTGAAGAAATTAAGGTTTTGACTGTAATGTAATTTAAAATGCATTAACTCAAATGTTAACTCAAGAAAGGAAGGAAAGTAGGGAGAAAGAAGGAAAGTAAAAAAAAGAAGGAAGGAAAGGAAACGAAAGGAAAGGAAAGGAAAGGAGGAAGGTTTGGGCCATCCTCAACTGCTTTCCCAGTCCACAAGCAGGGAGCTGGATGGGAAGTGGGACTGCCAGAACACAAACTGGTGCCCATATGTAATCTGCAGTGTGCAAGGCGAGGACTTTTAGTTGCTAGGCTACCATGCCGGGTCCTAACTCTAACTTTCAAATAGACAAATACATTGTGCCTGTGAGAACAGGACTGTGGAGATAGGGAACAAAGGGGGAAATACTAAAATCAAGAGAGAGCCCAAGCCAGATATTTACAATGAACCAAACAGTATGTGTAACTCTGACAGTCAAAAAAAATTAAGACAATAGATGGATAAAAGGAAGCTGATTGTCACAAAGAGTTATAAAGGAAAACTGAAAGGATGCTTCTTCGTAGGCAAATGGACTTGATGAACAGACGTTCATCCAACAGCCTTCTTACACACCAGGCACAGTGTTAGGTGCTGGTGGCTTGTAGCGGAGTCATACACACTCTCTGCTGTCCAGCCCAACCCCATTCCTTTTAGCCAGCTCTGGAAGGATGACTTTGCACTCATGGTGCTTCAGCTATTTTCTTTAAGTTTAGCCTTGATGATCCTATTGATAAATAACAGTTTTCTGCCTTACTGTCCAAGCACATTTAAACTTGAAAATAATTTGGACACATTGAGTGTCCACATGAGGTCCAGGACTCTAAAGGAAACAGACACACTTGTCTGGAACATAAGGACATGAAACCAGAATTAGTTCCCCTTTTTACAAAATTTGCTTGAATATTAATATGGCTTAAATTCTTTGTAAAAATAAAATGTGTCAGACTGCAACTTGTATTCCATTCATATAATGGAATGCTTTTCAGCTAAAGGATATTGCATAGGAAAATATTTATAATGAACTTATAATCTTTTTTATTTTATTTGAAAGATGAGTCAGAAACAGAGATAGGGGTAAAAAGAGCCAAGCCAAAATTTATAAGCCACCAAGATATACTTCAGTCAGTGAATAGACAAATAAAGTGGCATATAGGGCAACGGAATACTATTCAACATTAAATAGAAATGAACTCTCAAGTTATGGAAAGACATATAAAAAGCTTAAGTACAAAGTCCAGGAAGTCAATCTGAAAACATGGTATATTGTATGTTTCCAACTATATGACAGTCTGGAAAAGGTAAAACCAGGAGACAGTGGATACACTGGTAGTTGTCAAGAGTTGAGGGAGGGAGGGAGGAAGGGAGGGAGAAAGAGGCAGTGGAATTCTGCATGGGATCGTAATGAGGAAGACAGGATGGTGATGGTGATAATAAGGAAGGGTATGCGAGAGTATGGAGATTAAGTGATAAATTTTGATACCTTGGGCTCATTTTTTCTGAAAACCTTAAATGACTCTTAAAATGGTCATTAGAAGCTATTTCTTACATCTCTATGTTTCTGACTTAGGGATAATGATGAAAGAACATCGATATGGCTTTCTAGTTGAACACAAAGGAGTATCAGATGTGAAGTCTAAGCTCTGACAGAAACTCTGCCCTGAAATGAAGTCATCTATTAACAAACACTTTACCCAGACCATCTCCTGGGCTGTAAGGAACCTTAGTGACTCCACACGTACAGTGAATATAACCCAAGGCACGTCCAAATTGTGTGAATAACCCATTTTGTTTCTTCATTTTCAAGGAAGTAGTCATTTTATCAAACTGCTATAGACACAGTGTGCCCTATGCACAAGGCTATTTTTGTTATCAGTGTTTAAAGATTTTGAGAAAATTCTCACAGTTTGATATATAAATAATAACTGCTATGTAACTTTAATAAAATATAACCTCTTTAATTGCTAAACCAAACATGTTACCTTAAAAACATGAAAAGTGATCAACCACTACTGGGTCAACAGTCTTTTGTAATTGTGCCTTGTGTTATTCAGTTAAATATTTTAAACAAACACTTGAATACCTATGACACATTGCTGGTTCCCAACAGAAGCTGAGAACTAAACTAAAGTAATACTGGCTGATAAGGAGGTGTAAGTATGAACAAATACAGGGTACTGCCTCCCTGCCACACTCCAATTCCCATCCTCACAGACTTGAAAATAGTTTAATCTTCCCTATTTCCATCTGCTGTCCAATCGAATGAACCCATTGCTTTTTGGAATTTCCAACTATCAATTCCCCAATTTCTCTAAATCTTGATGGTGATGAAAGTCTTCACTGCTCACTGAATCTACCTACTATGACAGAATTCTGTTTTCCTTCAAATCTATATGGAGCATCTGGAGAGAAACTTGAAAAGCATTCACAGACCTACATATAAGAATGAGTGAATTCTAAAAACAAAAATAAGCAGGCCACAATGGAGAGAGGAGGAATTGCAGACTACTGTACTGTTCCTTTCCCTTCCAGCACTTCATTGCTCCATTTCCACACACCTCATGCTTATCCAGCTGGTACTGAGAAACTTGAAGGAAATCAAGAAACTAGAGAAATGCAAATATGAACAGCGTCTAAATATACCTTGCAGTCATAAAAGCGATAGTATAGCAAGAGTTAAATTCAGAAAAATATTTTTAGGAAATTAGAAATTTTTATTTAGAAAATGCTGTTTCAAGAGCTTGGGCTCTGGAATTAGAAAAAAACATAGAACGCAATTTAACACTTGCTACTAATAGGATATACTACACTGGTCAAATTCTTTGCATTTGTAAGCCTTTGTCTTATTTCTTTTGATTCATAAAATGAGAAAAACAATGCCTATTTTGTGAGAAGTAAAGTATCTCATATATTTACTGTAGTGCCTGTCACATAGTAACTCTTCAAAAACTATGATTATTGCTATAGAAACTGCTGTTTAGTATTCTGTTTGGGCAGTGGTATTATCTAATGCTATCAGGATTTTTTATATGTAAATAGTGGAATATTCAATTAGAGTTTTTGTTATTGTTGTTCACCCCTATTCACAGATGCACATTTAAGAGAAATCCATGCATTTCCAACTATTTCTTAATGTTTCTCTTACCTTTGCTTGTATAACCAGTTCCTCATGTTTACGGATCAGTTCTTCATTGTCTGAAAGTGATGAACCTAGACTTTGTTCCTGTAAATCTCTTATAGTTTTCTGAAACCAACAAGTAACCTAAATAAGAAACAAAAGGTTTAAATTATCAACATATGTGAATAAAAATTTAAAAAAAACCTTCTTGACCTTTTTCCTCTTTAGATAAATTAATCTCATGCATTAATAAAATTTTCCATTCTCATTTCACCCTCTACATGTGTAAGAGAAAAAATAAAGTGATCCCAGAAAAGCATAAAACTGAGTTATCAGCATGGTATACTACATGACATGAAGAAAATTGTGCAGATCTTCCAGCAGCTCCTAAACCATGTATTATTTTAAAGCACATCTTACTTCCCTGACAAAAATAAATATGAATATAGGCATGGTAATGAACATAGGTTCATATGACTCTCATAAATAAAATGCATAGAATTGTATTTCCTATTATAAAAAAGGCAATAAAAACATGTGGTCAGCTGTAATTGCCACAAATCTGTTCATGAAGTAAAAAAAAGACATTATTAAGATTCCATTGACATTACTAGTGCCCAAGGGCTTCACTCAAGTTCACATAGATTTAACTGACAATACTTCCATCTACAGTGTCTTTTTAAAAAACAAAACAAAAGAAAAAATTGCAGGAGTTGGACATTTTAAAGGGATGCCATGACTTGATATGGGTTACAGATTTCATATTTCAATGAAAGGAAATTGGATTTTGATCCTCAGATTTTGTATAAAACATTATCCTCAGACTCCCTTTGTAGCTATCAATTCTTAAGAAACCACGATAGACTAGACCGTTTGCTGCTTGCTTTTGGGAAATCACCATTTTTTCTCAAGAACTCCTTAACAACTGTGATATCACCATAGCAGAGTTAAGGTAGCTGAGTTTTGGATGGCTTATGTAGCTTACCTAGGGCCATACAGCCAGTGGTAAGCATCCGATTCATCCCTATATCTACGGGATTCCAACATGCATGTTCTTCCCACTACATCCTGAAACCACATCTGACTAATACAAAGTTTCACAGCCTTGTCATTGGAGGTAATGACTTAAAACCTGAAGACCGCTCATTAAAAATCACACAGCAGAAACAGGCGCCCTGTCTCTCTCCACCATGAGTGTCTAGCCTGCACTCTGAGTTTTCTCTGCAGGCCTTCAGCTGGGGAAAACAACTGAAACAAAAGACCATGAAAAAGTGGAATCAGATCTGAAGTTGCTTACAATAAGTGGACAGCACCGCACATCTCACACTCACACACACACACACACACACACACACACACCCCAACCCAGAAGTTAGAAGCTCACTTAGTGGTCACAGTACCATTACAGAACTAACATCACAACATTTACTAAGAGCAAAATATCTGTACAATTCTTAGCTTCCCAGCACGGAATAAGCAGTAAGATACAGAATAAGCTTCCGATTAATAGGAAGTCATTGCTAACCAGCATGTTCACCTATTATCCGTACAAACAACAGAACAATAGTGACTGTGCTTATTTCACTTTGCTTGTGACATACACCTCATTGTCTTCAGAATTTTTGGCAATCTATGTCTTATGCATGAATTATGTAAGTAGATCATACACAAGGTGAGTGTTAGTCAGTATAGTAAGTATACCAAAACTCACATTTTCTCATTGGTGTATATAATTTTTACAAGAGAACATAATTTCTTACAAAATATGTGGAGAACCCACATTAACACATAACTTTAGAAGTATTTGTTTCTTTGAGGTCAGGTGGACCATGAATTTAATTATACTTCAAAGATCATTGGTTTTATTAAATCTGGGAATGAGTTATCTATTCTTCACTGCAGTGGCAGACGTAGAAATCTCAAGAATGCTTTAACAGGAGAAATTAATACAGAATCTGAGTGAAAGAAAAATGGGTACAAACAGGTGTTCACTAATCTCTAAAAACAGGTGAGAAACCTGAGCCCTCAGATGATCCTATTAAACTCAGTGACTCAAAAACTTGTCATCTAACATATGTCCATGGTGTTGAAAGCAGGGAGGGACCCAGTCATTTTGATTTTTAAATAGAATCCAGTGACCTCATCTCCTGGATTTGTCAAACACACTTTGAATCCCCAATAGATAGTATTCCCATAAGACTAAAAGAACATAAAGAACAACATGATATTCAGTTTATCCGTGCTCACACACCTGTCGGTTTAAACATGCTGATTATCTAGAGCTATACAGTTTTGCCACCATAGGTGCCCTCAAAGGAAACATTAAAAAAAATTGGTATAAGATTCAGAAGTATGTCAACCATTCTGAGGGCGTCACATCTCATCACCAAACAGTCACACACATGGGCAGCCTCGGAGATCAGATTTACCACGTTTGATGAGGGATACAGAGTTCTTCTGATGCTAAGTAAGACACTCTAAATAACCAAGAGCATGCCCAGCAAAATACTCTGCCCCGGCAAATCAGTCATTGCATATACCACAACAGCTACTGCAGACAGCTGCACAGATATTCTAAGCATAGTTTCTAGAAGCTTTTAAATTACATCAGCTGCTTTCCAAAAGCCTGAGTGATAAGTACAGTAGGTAATCTAGCAGGACACTGCAGTAGAACATGCAAAAGGATCCCTGCAAAAGGATGGAAACATGAACTGACAGGTTTTACTGACAGGTAGAAATGAAGAAAGTTTTCAAAGTACACACTGGAAATTGCCTTACTGAACAATGATGGATTACAGTGGGAAATGAGAGCATTCTCCTCTCCCTTCTCAGTTCCAACCGTTCAACTTAAACAATGTGCTCATGTTCATTCCATCAGTTTGATATGACATTCTAGCTACTCAATTTCCAGAGAAGATAGCACCAAGGCAGAGAAGTGGGGCAGATCTTCTACTTGGGGAAAAGGCACCAATTGGGGATGGAGGTGATATCTGTGAGATGCTGATAAGAGAACGAGAAGAAGTCAGCCCACAAGCAACTGAGGACATTCAGTGAAAATCAAAAGCTGGCTTAAATGTTCCAGAAGAATGCCAGGGAAGTCTGGTCATGCCTTCTAGAGCTGCACTGTCCAACATGACAGCACTAACCACACAGGGCCAATGAGCACTTGGAATTTCATCAGTCCAAATGTAGCAGAGTTCATATACTTAATATAAAAAGAAATGAAAATATCTCGGTAAGAATTTTAGCATGGATTGTCTGTTAAGATACTGCAGATGTGTCACATTAAACAAAAATAGTGTTTTTACTTTTTATGTAACTTTAAACTTTTCGTTTATTTCCTTCTTACTTCTTTAATGCAATTACCAGAAAATACAGAAACTGCATAGCTGTTTGTATTATATTTTCATAGAATGCTTCTGCTGTTCAAGTATGTTTAGAACATCCTTATCTGTTTAACATAGATCTAAGCACTCAGTTTTAATTCAGGACAATTTAAAACAATGATATGAAGAGAGGTATAGAAGGAAATGTGAACTAGAGTGCATTTATAGACCACTGAGTGGAGGGCAAGGATGTAGAACTGATGCTCCTTTCAAAGAAATTCATTGGCTAAATAAAAGACAGAGAAAGCAGATGTAAGAAAAGAATTCCCCCAACACCCATTTTTTCCAGTTTTGATTAGACAAGACTCATAGTTTCCGCAGGAACAGGGGATCAAGATGCACAGAGATTTGGTGCAGAAACATCTAGAAAGAATAAAGGTATTGGTGTTGGGCTAGGCAGGATTAATCTGTTTCAACCCTATCTGCAACCCTTTTAGAGACAAGAGGGAAGTAGTGAAAATGAGACCTTTGCAGACAGCCACCGGGTACAAAGCTAGGCAGTACACAATGCCACCCTATCCAGTTTTTACCACTTCCTGTAATGGAGGTATTTGTTTTATTAAGAGAGGAGGAAAATGAGACCCAGACAGGTTACCCATTTCTCCCGGATTCACAAATGGAAAGTCCCATGAGTTGGGCAGAAGCACTGTTGTCAGAATTCACGTTGCCCTGGCCAGCACTTTTTCTTCGGTTGCCAATCAACACCCCATACTGAAGGCATTGTTGTAAGACTGCCAAATTGGTTCTGCTCACGCCGCACACAGCAAACCAATCACTGACATTAGAGTAGTGGAAGAAAGCAGTGCTTTATTGCAAAGCGCAGAACAAGGAGCCAGTAGCTAACATTTAATTGCTGAGCTCCCTGAGGTGTTAGGGGATGAATGTTCGTGTACACTGAAAATGGGGTTGAGATATCCGTGATCAGCTTGTGTCCAAGTTCCTAGTTGCTCAGTGGAGTTCATATTTTTCCTTTGATTGGTCAGCATCGTCATGTTCTTTATGGAATTATGACGGCAGATGAGTTCTAGTTGGTCTGGAGGGTTATGTAAAGGGAGCAATTATGTTCTAGTCAAACCCGAAATTTCCCTACCCAAAACACCTCAGGACAACACTGGACATCAAGGTTATTATCTATTATTCAGTATTTAGGAAGCAAGTCTCCTTGATCAGAACCTGTTAAAGCCAGTTGGAACAGTCCCAGTGAATCCCTTTTGATACAGGGCAGACAAAGACATTTAGTGCTAAGGGAGACATCCGGAAGCCTGGGTCCTGCTCTTAAATTCTAGGAATTCAGTGTCACTACCCATCATCTCCACTAGCAGAAACAAAGGAACCTTGAGAACAGAAATGATTCTTAGCCTGAGTTTATGGATGTTCTTCAAGTAAAAGCCAAATGCAAGGCTGTGGATACAGAAACCTAGTTAGATCTTGTAAACAGGTTCTATGTCCAGTAATGGTGACTATGCTTGAGAGAAAAACACATTCGTGCAGGTCAGACCCATCAGAGAGAATGCCTGAGAGGAAGAGGTCAGCTATGGCCAGAGGTGAGGACAAGCACAGACAGAACTCCAGTCCCTAGAAAATACGTGCTAAAGCAGGACTAAAACGTGCAGAAAACAAGCAATCAAACATGCTCTTTGATGGTTGAGCATGAAGAACTCATGTGTACTTGAACTGCAGCCCAAAGCATGCATCTGAATGCCAAAAACCACTGATTTGTTTTATGATTTGAGATTTGATCTTACATCTCGATCTTTA